TGCTGTCACTGACTGACTCAGGAAGAAGATTCCAGGCAGGAAGTGCTTTGGTGGCTGCTTTATCTAAATCCCTCCTGCGAGAGCTGCCCTTTGACCCCCCCTGTCCTGAGGAAGACGAAGGTGTCTGGCAGGTCACAGCCACCACTCAAGGCTCAAGCCATGACCTCTCACACACAGACACCCATGATGGCACTAACGTCCTCTCGTTGTCAAACACACACACACACATACACACTCACATACATATCACATGTGTCCCCTCTCTCTGTCTCTGTCACACACACTTATTTGGAGTCAGACTCGGGGATTAGCACTGGGGCTTATGGGTACCCCTCCAAGAAAGGATGAGTCTCTCCCTCCCTCTCTTGCCTGAGCTCCTGAAGGAGAAGTGTCAGTCGCCCTCAGGACTTTCCCCCAGTTGTTATGTTGGGGTTCCAGCTATCTGAGGGGTTCAGGCAAAGCCTGCCCATCTGGAAGTCCCCAGAGAGCCCTCTCCTCCTGGGGGCAGCTCCGGGCTAAGACTGGGTAGGGTGAGGTGGGGTGGGGTGGGGGTGGGGGGCAGGTAGGCACCTTCTTCTTATTTATTAGCTGAGTTATTCCCTTTTTCTCTGAGCCCTCGTTGATGAGGGTAGAAGGGACCACACGGAGGGCTGATAGAGCAGGAGAGTTCGCTCAGGCCAGTGTGTGTGTGTGTGTGTGTGTGTGTGTGTGTGTGTTTATGGAGGGGTGTCACGCCAGAAAAGGGTGAGGATTCACAGACATTGTGACTGTAGCCCATCATGGTAATACTTGTCTAGGACTCTTGGTTAGCTGTTTTAACACCCTAGCCCTTCAAGAAAGGGGCAGAGACTAACATTAGTTTATGGTAACATTAGTTTATGGTAAGATTGGGGGGAGGGGGCGGGCAGGAGTCAGTGGAGGTGTCCTCACCCAGGGGACAAATTTCACCCAAGAATCTGAGCCACCCCACATCCCAAGGTCACCGGGCAGGACCTCTGATTGGCCGGGCTCGTGTATGATGTCATGGGGTGGGGCAAGGGAGTGCCCATCCTCCCACTTCCAGGCTCGGAGTTCCCGACTCTGGGCACGTTACCCTTTTGCAAAGGACTTTTTTTTCCCCCTCCTATGCTCTCCCTGGAGAAGTGCCTGTCTCAAAGTGCCAAGGAAACGCTGAGCTCAGCGCTTCCCGAAGCTCTCTGCTGGACTGGGGCCTTTGTCCCAGCTGCTACCAGCACCGAGCTGGGGATGGGGATGTGTGTGTGTGTGGGCGGGGGGGACGGCGGGGTGGGGGGGAGGGTGTCCCTCGGGACCCCCTGTGCGTGTTCCCGTTTCCGCGTGCACCAGCCGGGGGCGGGGGTGTTGGGTGCTCGTGTGTTTCCCGCGTGCAACGAGCTGGGGGTGGGGGTGCCCCGTGCGCGTTTCCCCGCATCCACCAAGCTGGGGGTTGGGGGGGAATCCCTGTGCATTTCCCCGCGTGCACCGAGCTGGGGACGGGGGTACCCCGGGTGCATTTCCCCGCGCGCATCGTGCTGGGGGAGGGGGTGTCCCGGGTGCGTTTCCCCGCGTGCACCGAACCGCCGTGGTGGGTGGGTGGGTGGGAGTGTGCCCGTGTGCATTTCCTCTCATATGCCCTTGGTGCGCAGCGCGGTTCCCCGGGAGCGGCCGGCGGGGATCGCGGTAACAGCCCAGCACGCTCCCTCCCACTCAATTGTGCGTCGAGGAAGTGCAGCGGCCCCGCCGGTGCCAAGATCCTGCCACAGAAAAGCTCCGGCGCCTTTTTCTCTTCCATCCGTCGGGCCGGCTCCCATTGCCCCTCCGGCCGCAGGGTGCCAAGCGTCAAATAGACCAAGCTCTGTTCTGGACCGTTCCTGGGCCTCTCGAGCCCGCTCCCGCCTCTTCTGTGGGCCCTGGAGAAGGGCCGGAGCCCGCAGCTCCGGGTGCCATGCCCCGGTGGTCCTGGACAGAAAGGATATTCAGACCAAGTGGTCAGAACTTGCCAATTTGAATTTTGTTTTAGAAAAATATTGCCTTAAATTACAATTTCTTTTGGGTCCAGAGAGTTGGTACAGTGGATAAGGTGCTTGCCTTGCCCACCCAGGTTCGATTCCCAGCAACCCCTCAGCATTGCCAGATGTGGTACAAAAGCCAAAAAAAAAAAAAGAAAAAGAAAAGAAAAAGAAAAAAATCCCAACTTCTTTTGATTAGAGGTTTTTGTTGTTGTTGTTGTTGTTGTTATTTTTAATTTTGTGGCCACACCCTGCTGTGCTCAGGCCTTACTCCTACGAATCACTTCTGAGTGGCAGACTGGGGCGGGTGGGTGGTGGTGGTGGGGGGAGACCATATGAAGTCCTGGGGTTTGAACCCAGGTCATCTCTCTGGCCCCTGATTTGAGGATTTTTTTTTAATGTCTCCTTAAATTTCATCTGCTTTCCTCATACCCCCAGCAACCATAATTCCCCCTCTTGCCCCCAGCGGGTAACCGAGCTGGACCAGTTGTCCTGGACACAGCAACAGGAAGGGTCCACTTTTCCCTGAGATGGGGCCACGGTGCTCTCAGTTGTGGCCATGAGAAGAGACTGCAGTCACAGTGCTGTGGGTCCCTGGTGGTTCCTGCTGGTCCCTGCTGGTCTCTGCTGGTCCCTGCTGGTTCTCATTGGTACCTGCCTGCTGGTTCCTGACCACTAGCTAGTCAGGCTGAGGACTCTCCTTTTGTGGCTGGAACAACCCACCAGGGCAGGTCTTGGTCCTGTGTGGTGGGTCTGGAAGTCAGAGCCAGCCTCACTCACTGCTGACTCCTCCAGCAGTGCTCCCTAGCTCCGTTGGGGGCGTGGAGGGGGGGATGGTGACTGATTCCGAGTAGGAGGCAAAATTGAGACATGGTTGGGCTTGTGGACACCACAGAGCAGGGCCGATGTCCACCCTTCACAGTTTTCTACTCTCCTTCCTGGAAAATGGGTGCAGAGTTCAAGGCTCCTTCACTGGGTGTTGAAAGCCTGATTTCTTTTGTGTTCGATCAAGTTCTTTCCCGGATGTTGTTTGGGGATATTAGTGACTCACCCTGTGTGTTGGGGCCACACCTGGCAGTGCTGGGGCTGTGCCCGGGATGGAACCCGGACTCCTGCAGGCCAAATATGTACGCCAGCCCCTTGACTTCTCTCTCTGGTCTGCCTGACCCCCTTTGCTCTGGGGACCCTGCTTGTCCAGCCACAGCCTGCAAGTGGGGTTGGTGGCGCAGCTGAACCCCAGTGGATCCCACATCTGGGCATGCAGGGCCCCTAAACTGCGGAATCCCCTCCTCGCACCCCCTCATCCCAGGCCCCAGGGGCTCTGACAGACTCAGCTGCTGCACCCCCGCCCCTGCCTGCCCCCTCTGTCTCCAGGGACCGTGATTTGATTTCCTCCAATCACCAGCATTACCATCTGCTTGAGGTAATTAAATGGTGTTTGAATTGAATCCAGAAATCCCATTGCCCAAGAGGTAGTGTGGTAAGGGGGGCTCCTTCCTGGGCTGGGCTTCACGGACAGGCTAGGGGGGTCTTGAGGCTGCCTGGGCCAGACCCTTGTCTCCCAGGAGCATCTGCAGACCCCAGGCCAGCAGGCTGCGGGGCCCAGAATTCTAGACCCTGATCCCTCCAGATTGCCGGCCGCCCTGTCTCCCTGCATTTGAGCAGACTCTCCCCTGGAATCCTGATCTGACTGGGTGGCCCCTAAACACTGGATTAAGGTAGATGATGGCGGGGTCCCTTTCCTCATACAGAAAACCTCCACTCGTGCCCATGGCTACGTTCCCGCACCCCCTCGCCCCCTGTCTCTTTCTCAGCCAGGTGTTGCGCTCCCCCTCTCCGCCGCTCTGGCTGGGGCCAGGCAGCCGGGACTAGAGCCCGTGCTGAGTCTGAGGCACCCCTGTGCCCTGCTGGGTGTCCCCTCACTCTTTTCTTCTCTCCACAAATGTTGGCTTAGTCAGTGGGAGCTTGACAAGAAGCTCATTGTGAGCGCCCTTGAGTGGTAGCGCCCAGCCCGCCCCCCTTGTACTGGAGGGCATTTGGGAGGTACTCCGTGCCAATCGCTGCCACGCATGCTCACTGACTCCCACTTGGTTGCCATGGGGACCGCACCAGGGCGATGGCCGCTTGGAAGAAGAGGAAGGGATGGCGGACCCCATCCATGGCTGCCTCCAAGCTGAGCCCTCATATCACCTTTCTTCTGTTGTAGGGGGGTCCCACCCAGATTGGGGGTGTTGCCCTTTGGGGGTGGCCCAGCATCCCTTTTGGAGCAAACTTGTGCTGGTCTGGCCAGCCAGACTCCTCCACTTCTGGAGGGAGAAGCTTTCCGGGGTGTCCCCTGGGCTCTGGCTTCTTCCCGGGGTCCCCACAGATGTGCTGTTCTCCTCTGGAACTCAGGGTACAGCTGTACTGACTCCTCTCTCCCTGGTCCCCTTATACAACCTACTCAAGTCATTAGATTCCCTCAGCTTTAACGTCCTTGTCTGTATAGTCGGGCAGGTAACACATATCTCATTTGTAGTTATACATTATAGTTCATGTAAGTTCAACCTATTTGGCGGGTTGGGTTCCGGGACCACTCCCAGTGGTCGCTTAGGGTGCCAGGGATCAAATCTGGCCTTCCAACATGTGAAGCACGTGCTCAGCCCTGCCAATGCTATGTTGTTGGGGTTGGGGGGAAGTAGGTGGCTTAGGCCACACCTGGCAGTGCTCTTGGCTGTGTGCCCAGGGAATCACTCTTGTCCCTGTGTTCAGGCGACCATATGCAGTGCCAGGAGTCAAACTGGGATCAACTCCAGCACTATCAGCACAGAGGTGTTCAGTAGGTGTTAGTGATGGCTGCTTTTGATGGTGTTGGTGTCACTGTGACGGTAACTCACAAAGGCTGCCCTATGCCTTTGGTCGCAGGGGATCCCTCAGCTTCCTTCCTTTTCCTCCAAGGGTGAGGAAGTGAGTTGGGGGACACAGCTCTGACTCAGGGCTCTCCCTGTCCGGCAGGATCCGGCCGCAGCTGTCAAAGGAGAAGATTGAGGGCTGTCACATCTGCACCTCTGTCACCCCAGGTGAGCCCCAGGTCCTCCTGGGGAAAGACAAAGCCTTTACCTATGACTTTGTCTTCGACCTGGACACATGGCAGGAGCAGATCTACTCAACCTGTGTGAGCAAGCTCATCGAGGGCTGCTTCGAGGGCTACAATGCCACGGTGCTGGCCTACGGGCAGGTGAGCCTCTCTTGCCCTGGGCTCCCACTTTGACAGAGGTGGTACAGGGATTCGGGCTGGGTTTCAGGCTTCTTTCTTTTCTGCCCCTGCAGACAGGGGCCGGGAAGACCTATACCATGGGCACCGGCTTCGACACGGTCACCTCGGAGGAGGAGCAGGGCATCATCCCGAGGGCCATCGCGCACCTCTTTGGGGGTATCGCTGAGCGGAAGCGGCGGGCGCAGGAGCAGGGCGTGGCGGGGCCGGAGTTCAAAGTCAGCGCTCAGTTCCTGGAGGTATTTATTCCAATCAGGGGGTGCCTGGGGAGCTCCAGGGCAGCGAGGGGGTCATGGGCTGTGAGGCTGTGAGATCCCCATGGCCAGAAGTAGCCAAATAAGAGTCTTGCTTGACACAAAAAGGTGGGCTCACGGAACACAGGTCTGGGATCCCCATCTCCTACCCTGAGCCCTGCTGGGGGTATCCCAACAATTTCCTGCAAAAGAAACCAATTTATAGCCCTCCTGATCTCCATGAGGCTGTGTGCGGGAACTCCACCCCGAGCCAGCCCCACAACCCATTCATCTCCCTCTTCCTTTTCCCTCTTCCTCTCCCCTCCCATAACCCCCCTCTATCCAGAGCCTTCTGTCCATTTCCTACCCACAGTCCACCCAGTGCCCCTTCTCATGATCCACCTACTATCCACCACCACCCACAATCTACCCATAAACCCCCCACCTTCCACCCACTGTTCACCCACCTCCCACCCATTCCCTGCCTACAGTCAACCTATTACACGCTTCCCACAATCCACCCATTCTCCATCTGTTCCCCACCCTTCTGCCCACAGTCTCCCCATGTCCCTCCCACTCCCCTCCTATTCCCCACCCATTCCCCACCCACTTCCTCTTCCATGCTGGTCCCAAGGCACCCCCCTCCCTCCACCGCACCCCACCCCACCCAGTCCTCAGAGAGTCTAGTGCACACACAGGACACGTTCCTCCCTCCGGGAGAGTTGGAAGGTTGGTCCCCCTTTCCTCACCCACGTGTACCCAAGCAGGGTCTGTGTCCCCAGGAGCCCCGAGGGCGGCCACTGTTGAGCTCTGGTTGGGCCCCCCGCCCCCCCCCCCCCAGGAGAAAGATGAGTCACCTGGGCGGATGGTTCCATTTCCATGCTGCAAGCCATAGGGCAGGTGCACGTGAGAGATCAGCCCTTGAGGTTCCCCATGAACTGACGCGGATCCCCCCGCAGCTCTACAATGAGGAGATCCTGGACCTGTTCGACAGCACACGGGACCCCGACTCCCGGCACCGCAAGTCCAACATCAAGATCCACGAGGACGCCAATGGGGGCATCTACACCACGGGTGTCACCGCCCGCCTCATCAATTCCCAGGAGGAGGTGAGCAGTCTGGGAAGGCCCTGCAGCGCCCGCCCCAACTCTGCCCCGCTTCTCACCCTACCTCTGCCCCCCCTGCTGCAGCTGATCCAGTGCCTGAAGCAGGGGGCCTTGTCGCGCACCACAGCCAGCACCCAGATGAATGTACAGAGCTCCCGCTCCCATGCCATCTTCACCATCCACCTGTGTCAGATGCGGGTGTGCGCCCAGCCGGACCTGGTGAGGAAGCCCCAGGCTGTGTGCTGGGGGGAACCTGGGATTGGAGTCTGCCACCACCTCATGTCGATCTTTCTCTGCTTCTTGAGCCCCAGTTTTTTCATCTGTACAATGGGTGACCAAAACATGCAGGGTCTAGGGGTCGGGCTGTACCCAGAGTACCACAGGTGGTATTCCTGGGGGGCAGTGGGAGACCAGGAGCAGGGGACGGGCAGGGACTGTCCACTGAGGTACCTCCTCTTCCGCTGCAGGTGGGTGAGGGGGTGACTGGGCTTCCCGAAGGCTCAGCGCCCTCCAGCGAGTATGAGACGCTCACGGCCAAATTTCACTTTGTGGACCTGGCGGGTTCTGAGCGGCTGAAGCGCACAGGAGCCACAGGCGAGAGAGCCAAGGAGGGCATCTCCATCAACTGTGGCCTGGTAGGCACTGCACCCCACAGGCCACCTTCCCCTTTCAGCGACTGCTGGCAAGGCCCCCCATCTCCTTCATCCTTGCCTCTGGCCCCTGTGTCCTATCTCACCCCCTTACCCCTCCTGGGCAGAGGAAGGTTAGATGGGGTGTCGGACCCTCTGCTGAGCACAACCTGTCTTCTGCAGCTGTCCTTGGGCAATGTCATCAGTGCCCTGGGGGACCAGAGCAAGAAGGTGGTACACGTGCCCTACCGGGACTCCAAGCTCACTCGACTCCTCCAGGACTCACTAGGGGGCAACAGGTACCCCAAGATCAATGTCTCGAGTTGTGGGAGGGAGGCAGGAGGGTGAGTGGGCCGAGGAGGCCCAGGCAGGCTGCATGGACCGGGTGGGAAGAGCTTTATTTATTTATTTTTTATGTTCTGTGTTTTGGGGCTACACCTGCTGGTCCTCAGAGCTCACTACTAGCTTTTCATTCAGGAATCATTTCTGCTGAGGCTTGGGGGACCCTGTGGGGCGCTTGGGAAGTGCCTCACCTCTCAGCCGGAGAAGAGCTTTGCAGTGGGGAGAGAAGTGCCAGCTGGGCCATAGTGCCAGCGGTGCTGGGAATTCTAGGGCAAGGTGGGGCCCCCTTGCCAGACGCCCTGCCAGCCCCTGTACAGCCCTGCCATCCTGTGCCCCAACGTCCAGGTTCTAACCTGGTCCTTAGGGCGCTGAGGCCTTGGGAGAGCCGGTGGGAGCAGAAGCTCCGCTCTGGGATGATGCTTCTGGGTGCTGACTGTGCCCTTGCCCCCAGCCAGACCGTCATGATTGCCTGCGTGAGCCCCTCGGACCGTGACTTCATGGAGACCCTCAACACCCTCAAATACGCCAACCGAGCGCGCAACATTAAGAATAAGGTGGTGGTAAACCAGGACAAGACGAGCCAGCAGATCAGTGCTCTGCGGGCAGAAATCGCGCGCCTGCAGATGGAGCTCATGGAGTACAAGGCGGTGAGCAGGTCCCGCTTAAAGCCACGCTCACGAGCCGCGCCCCTCACCAGCCTTCCGCCACGCCCCGCGTCCCGCCCCTCGACCACGCCCCGATTCTAGACCACGCCCACAAACCACGCCCCGACTCCGCCCCACCACGCCCGCAAACCACGCCCCCTACTCCCCGCCCCTCGGCAACGTCTCCTTCCCCCTCGGCCACGCCCACGAGCACGCCCTCCTGCTTCCCTGCCCCCTTCTTTACCCCCCCCACTGCCAGCTGTAGCCTAGAGCCTGCCCAGAATCGGCAACCCCTCTCACTCCCCCACCACCACCCCCCCATCCCGCCCAGCCCCCTGATTAGGGCACAGCTGGACGCCTCAGGACCTTAGAATACTAAGTGAGAGAAAGAAGAGCTCCTAGCCTGGAGGCCTCGCTCTTAGGTCTTAGGTCCAGTGCAGCTCCCTGCTCCCTCATGGTTCTTCCTGTTCGCTGCCCTTGCTGGGTGGGACCAGAAAATAGGTGATGGGGTCCAGAGAGATAGCTCAAAGGGCTAGAGTGCAGGCTTTGCATCCAGGAGGTCCAGATTTGATTGCCCTGAGTCACCACGAGCCAGGTGTGACCCAACAAACAAAAATAAAGAAAAAAATGGGTCACTGGAGTGCTTGGAGGAGGAGTTGACCCTACTCATTAAAGTCAGGGGGTGACTTCCTGGAGAAGGGGAGCTTTTATATGAGTTTTGAGGTGTGAATGAGGTATCAGACATTCTAGGGTGCGGACATGCCATGCATAATAAAGGAAAAGAATGGGCAGCTTGGAGCAGTCCCCTCTCATCCCAAGGGACTGAAATGGAAATCTCTCCTGGGTTTTGCTCAGATTTGCTTCCCCCCCCTCCCCCAAAGAGTTGTCAGCCTTTATGAAAATCAGGGCATTTGAGTTTTTCTAACAAGATTGTGGGAGGCCTAAAATGGCCACTTGAAAAGTGTGGACATTTTAGGTTTTAAACTGTGGGGGCCCGAATAGAGCTAGGGATCAGATTTGGGCAGGGCTGGGCATGCAGCCACGTGCCCCACCACTTGGGCCCCATCCCAGGTCTCCAGTGTGAACTTTTTAATTTTTATTTTTTGCTGTGAGGAGCTGAGGGACCCAGTGCTCAAGCTGTTTTAGAAGCTTGGGGCAGGGGTTAAGAGGTCTGGCAGGGAGAAGCCTCCTTGCCCCTTGGCTCATCCTGGGAACTCAGACCCGGGCTACTCACCAGGGCAAGCGGGTGATTGGTGAGGACGGCGCTGAGGGCTATAGCGACCTGTTCCGCGAGAACGCCATGCTGCAGAAGGAGAACGGAGCACTGCGCCTGCGTGTGAAGGCCATGCAGGAGGCCATCGATGCTATCAACAGCCGCGTCACTCACCTCATGAGTCAGGAGGCCAATCTGCTGCTGGCCAAGGCCGGTGAGTCTCAGCACATCTCCAGGCTGGGTGCTTGCCCCCACCACCCTCCTAAGCCTACTAGTCAACTCAAGGATTATTCGTTTAGGCATTTTTTTTTAAAAGTTGATTCTGAAACTCTCTTGGGGGCAAGGGGAGACACACCCATAGATTGTGGGTCGTGCTTCCTGTGGGGTCTCCAGGAACCACTCTGAATGGTAGCCAGGGGGCCTTGTGGTATTGAAGATTGAGCCCAAGGATCCTGCATGCAAAGAAGTCCTTTGGGTTTTTGTTGTTCCTGTTTAATTGAATCACCATGAATTATAAAATTAGAGTTATTCATGATTGAATTCAGGTGGACAGTTCCAACACCAGTCCCTTCACCGGTGTTCATTCCCCCACCAGTGTCCCCAGTTTCCCTCTTGCCTCAGCCTGCCTTCTTTCCTTACCCCCTTTTTGGCACTGAGGTTCACAGCACCTAGTCCTCGTCCAGAGTGACCATGTCCCTCTGTCATTGTCCTAGAGACCCATCTCCCTGACACACACCCCACCCAGTGGCAAGCATCTCACTAAGGACCAGTTTTCCTGCTCTTCTTCGTTTCTGTTGCCACAGAGCAGCCTTTGAGTTCTCACCTTGCATCTTGAAACATTGTTTAAGGTCACAAGGAACTCCTGAGTATCCACTCTGTTTAGCGAAACTAAGGCTTCAGCCTCTGAGCAGGAACTGCCTCGAGTCGTGGGTCATTCAGCGTGTCTGTCTCTCTCAGGCTCACGGCACCTGCTCTGTGGGGAGACTCTGTTCCTCAGTGCTCACATGCGTGTGCACAGCCTCCTAGCACTTCCCTTTCCACTCAACATCGGGCTTTAGAAATCCCTCGTGGGCAGGAGAGAGAGCTCAGCAGCCAGAGCATATGCTTTGTATGCCTGCAGGGGGCCCGGGTTTGGTCCCTGGCACTCTGTAGTTCCCTGAGCACTTGAAGAAGGAGCCTCCAAGACCAAACCTTGAGAATCTCTTGAGTACTGCCATGTGTTGCCAAAAAAAATCCCCTCTCCCCCCAAAAAATACCCCTCAAAATAATCCTTCCTTATGAAACCATTTTGACCCCCTTTGTTCTTTTAAACATCATGTTGGTCCATGCAGATGGTGGTAACTGTCTCAGCAGAACGGCCTCCGTTGATGGACTTTGCTGCACTTCCAAATTTCTTCCAATGAGCCCAGAGTTCATTCCTGTATTTGCATCTCTGGACCAGTCTTTGCTAGGGGCCTTCTTAGAAAGGCCCTGGGCGCCCCCTGGTGGAGGCTCAGACAGCCGCCACATGTCGCTGGAGGTCCCTTGATAACTGTCTTTTATTGTTTGTTTTGCTTTTGGGATCACACCCAGTGATGCCCAGGTTTTACTCCCGGCTCTGCGCTCAGGGCTCTTTCCAGGCAGGGCTTGAGGGACCACATATGGTGCTGGGGATGGAACCCAGGTGGTATGCAAGCAAGGCAATTGCCCTGCCGCTATATTGTGGCTCCCACCCCCGTTTGTTGTATTTATTGTTGCCCACCTCACCCCCTCCAGGTGATGGCAATGAGGCCATTGGTGCTCTGATCCAGAATTACATCCGGGAGATTGAGGAGCTACGGTGAGTGAGCAATGCATGTTTGGCCCGGTGGGGTGCGGGGGGAGGCTGGGGGAATTGGGGTGCTGCCTGATGGCCTATGAGGTTCACCACCCCCACTTGCTGGCTCGGGCCCACAGGACGAAGCTCCTGGAGAGTGAGGCCATGAATGAGTCGCTCCGCCGCAGTCTCTCCCGGGCCTCGGCTCGGGGCCCCTACTCCCTGGGGACGTCCCCCGCTGCGCCCGCCTTCAGGGGCAGCCCGGTCAGCAGCATGGAGGATGCCACCGAGGTGATCCGCAGGGCCAAGCAGGATCTGGAACGGCTCAAAAAGAAGGAGGTCAGGCAGAGGAGGAAGAGGTGAGGACATGTTCCCCGCCCCAGAGGGCTGCTCTCCATGGAGAGGGACCCCCAGGCCTCCTGAGAGCTCACCCCACATAGTCTCTGGGGCAGAAGCCACCTGACTTCCTCCAGTACTATACTTCCCCCCGGGTTTGGGGGCTGGTTCCCTCTGGGCTGGGAGCTAAGGAACCAGACTCTTCAGTGGAGCAGGAAGCCAGCCCCAACTTTGCCCTGTGAGTGGGAACCCCTCCACCATACCCTTACCAGCCTGCCCACATGCTCATGGCAGGCAGGGGAGCCCCCTAACCTGGCCTCCCTTGCCCTCTGAGCAGCCCAGAGAAGGAGGCGTTCAAAAAGAGGGCAAAGCTCCAACAGGAGAACAGTGAAGAGACAGATGAGAACGAGGCGGAGGAGGTAAGGGGCCCTGCTGCCCCCCCCCCCCCCCAGGTTTCCCCCTCCCCAGCTCCCTGGTGCAGGAGGAGCTGCTTAAGGCCACCCTGGTCATCACGGCCCCTGATGGTCTTCCTTTCCAGTCCCCACCTCAGCCCAGGGGGGCAGGGACTCCAGGCTCTGCTCAAGCTGCGGGGGTGCTGGGTGCTGACCACCAGGCTAGGATGGGCTGCAGGCTGCCCGGTGCCCCCACAAAGTGCAATCTGGACTTGCCTCTGCTCCGGGTCCCCCTCCCGAGGCTGGGCTCAGCCTGAGTGAAGGGGGAGCTGCAGCCCCCTGATTGCTTTGTGGTGCCCAGGAGGAGGAAGAGCGAGATGAGAGTGGCTGTGAGGAGGAGGAGGGCCGCGAGGACGAGGACGAGGACTCAGGCAGCGAGGAGAGCCTGGTGGACTCGGATTCGGACCCCGAGGAGAAAGGTGCGTGGCTGGAGAGGGCCGGGGAGGCTTGGGGAGGGCTTGGGAGGGCCAGGGAGGGCTGGGGAGGGTCAGGGTATATTCAGGAGGGTCGGGGAGGGCTGGGGAGGATCAGGGAGGGCTCAGGAGGGTCAGGGAGGGTCAGGGAGGGCCGGGAGGACTGGGGAGGGTCAGGGAGGACCAGATTGAGCTAGGGAGGGTCAGGGAGGATCAGATCAGGCTGAGGAGGGCCAGGAAGGCTGAGGAGGGTGGGGAGGGTTGGGGGAGGGCTGAGCTGGGCCAGGCTGCCTGTCAGCATCAGGTCCGAGCAGGTGAGGGGCCGACTTGGTGGCAGAAGAGCCGGAACCCAGGTGGGCCGGGCACTGTGTGAGTCTCTTCAACACCGTGGATGCCAGGACACAGGAGGCCAGCGGGCAGCTGTCAGTAATGGGAATGACAGTGACGGCCACAGGAACTGCTGGGCCAGCCTGAACCCCATTCCTACGGCCTGGCCCTTCCATCCTTGCTCACACCCAACCAGTGGCATGGGGCTGCCCCATATCCCCACAGACACAGGGTCACTCATCTGGATGCAGAGCGGGGGGTGACCCCGTCCTTCACAGGGCAGTACTGCCCATGGCTCCCCTGCTGCCCTCGCTGCCCACAGCTGCAGGGCTCCAGGGCCCTGGTACCTCCTCTGGGGATGCCTGGTTCTGTGGCAGAGCAGGGCAGGAGAGGAGCCCCTGAGCCCCCTGCATTTCTGGGGCTGAGCTTTCTGCTCAGTTCCCCTCCCTTTGGCGGCACTGCAGCCTGCCAGAGTTTACATGCCCACACAGCAGCACTGCTGGGCAGGCAGCTCCAGGCCCCAACTGCAGACCCAGGGCTGCCCCTTCTATGCACCCCCTAACTGGGTTTATCATTTCCTTTAGTCTGGGGCACTCAGGGCCCACCTTGCCCTTCCTCTCCTCCCCTTCTGCTGGGTCACGCCTGTCTCTGCTTCCCCAGAGGTGAACTTCCAGGCAGACCTAGCCGACCTGACCTGCGAGATCGAGATCAAGCAAAAGTTGATCGATGAGCTGGAGAACAGCCAGCGGCGGCTGCAGACCCTCAAGCACCAGTATGAGGAGAAGCTGATTCTGCTGCAGAACAAGATAAGGGACACGCAGCTGGAACGCGACCGGGTGCTGCAGAACCTCAGTGAGGACCGCGCTCGCCCACTTCTCGCCCCCCTCTTCAGCGCACTGCCCACCAGCTGTCCGTTCGCATAAGCCGCACCGCGCTCACCCACTCCAGTGCCACACCCACTCACGCAAGCATCATGCTCACCGACGCTAGTGCCATGGCCATTCCAGCCCCACGCCCACCCACTCCAGCATTTTGACCACCAGCTCCAGCACCACACCCTTTCACTCCAGCACCACGCCCACCCGCCCCATAACCACGCTCGCGCACTCGTTGCAGTACCAGGCCCACCCGCTCCAGCATCGTGCCCACCAAACGCTTCCAATCCTGTTCGTTTCTGGGGACTTACCCACCCTTTTGAACCCTGCACTGGTTCCCTTTGGCCCAACCCTGATCCTGTGCTATGGTTTACTGGTTGATTTAATAGTAGTTTCCTTCAATCCCTGGGCACGTGAGCATGACACTCCTCAGCCTCTCTTCCTGCATTCGCTCCCCTGGGCGTTGTCCTCGGGAACTCCCTCCCCCCCTTTTTTTTTTTGCTTTTTTGGGTCACACCGGGCGATGCACAGGGGGTTACTCCTGGTTCATGCACTTAGGAATTACCCCTGGCGGTGCTCAGGGGACCATATGGGATGCTGGGAATCGAACCCAGGTGGTCTGCGTGCAAGGCAAACGCCTTACCTGCAGTGCTAACTCTCCAGCCCCCTCGGTACCCCGTTACACGCCTGCTTCTCCCATTCCCTCCTACTCCTGCCGTCTGCCAGTCGGGCTGTCCGTCGTTCACGCCCTCATGCGTCCAGCGAGCAGCCGCTGACCACGTCTTGGACGACAGCCTTGTCCTAGGAGCTGGGGCTCTACGGGAGGGCGCTGTGGGGCTCCGTGTCGCAGAGGACGCAGTTGGGGGGGAGCCGGGGGCTGGCCCTGACCACGCCCGTGCCCACAGGCACCATGGAGTGCTACACCGAGGAGAAGGCCAACAAGATCAAGGCCGACTACGAGAAGCGGTTGCGCGAGATGAACCGGGACCTGCAGAAGCTGCAGGCGGCGCAGAGGGAGCACGCGCGGCTGCTCAAGAACCAGTCTCGCTACGAGCGGGAGCTCAAGAAGCTGCAGGCCGAGGTGGCCGAGATGAAGAAGGCCAAGGTAGGTGCGGGTGGTCCGAAGGCTTCGCTGGCCTGGCCCTGCTCCCCCCACCGCCCCCCCTTGAAGCACGGTCCTGGGAAAAAAGGCGAGTGGAGGGTCTGCGGCGTGTGCTCAGTGCTGCCCCCAGTGGTGGGGAGACGCCATCACAGCAGCCTCCCCGAGGAAGCATTTGTGCCAATTTTCTAACAGCGGCAGCAAAAACGCTCGTCGTTATCGTTAAATTATATTGCAGTTATAATTTAGAGAGGTTATTGTTGGTGCTGTTTGAGCGCTCTTAGAGGCCAGGCTGAGGCTTGTCCCCATACGTGTGTGTTCTTATCAGCCCCGGGAGAAGCGTCTGGAGTAAGGCCTATTGTCGCCCCCTTCTGTGCCTGAGGGGAAGCAGTGCTCAGGGAGGGTTGGTCCCAGGCCGTGAGACAGAGCTGGGACTGAGCCCCCCAGCCCCGCTGTCTGCCCCATGGTGTGTGTCCTCTGTGGCTCCTTGCACTCCCTCTTGCTGCCATTGTAGAGAGAACTCCATCTCAGGCTGGCCAGGTTTATGGGAGGTGGCCCTGTCTCTGAGCTGAGGCTGTCTGGGGTGCCCCTGTCCCTGAGCCTGCACTGTCCAGGGGTGCCCTTGTCCTTGAGCCTGGGCTTTCTGAGGGTGCCCCTCTCCTAGTGTGGGAGCCGGCCCCTCCGGACCCATCCTACACATGTGTCCTCACCTGGTCCCCCACTCCTACACTCCCAACCTGGCCCTGAGCCCCGAGTGTACCCCCATCTCCACAGCTCAGGGCCAGACCAGGGTGCAGCTCTAGGGATCCCTGGGAGACAGTGTCCTAATGACTGACCAGGTGCAGACAGAGGAGAGAGCCCGGGACTGGGGTGGAGGATGCAGTCTGTAGGGGAGGGGAGAGGTGGCAGGCAGGCTGACCACCTCTGTCTCTGTTTGCCCCTACCATACATCCAGGGGCTCCAGGGTTGGACCAGGGGCGAGAAAGCACCCCCCGCATACACACACACACACACACACACACACACACTCACGCATGCACACATGCACACACACACACACACACACACACACACACACACACCAGGGCTCTAGTGCCCTCTGGCGGTGTAGCCGGGAAGCATATCTGTGCCCCGTTTTCCCCACCAGCGGTGGGAGGTCTCGTCTGGCCCTCATGCAGCCTCCGTGGTCCCCCACTGATGCCTCTTCAGGGTGCTTACACTGTTCAGCCTTCGTGGGGCCTAGCAAGAGAGAACCCCAGAACACTCTGGGGACAGAGGCCTCATATGTGTCCCTGAACCTCAGTCCTAGGGGTGAGGTGCCCCTCAGCCAGGTGCCATCAAACTGCTCTTGAGAGCCCAGGCCAGAGGTTGAAGACACCCTCTGGGGTCCCCTGAGGTTCTCTGCAAGGAAAGAGGGTCCAGCAGTTGAGGCTTCTACCTGGAAGCCTGAGAGCTGGTGTGTGAGACACCTGACCCCAGAGTTTGGCTGCTGGCCAACCCCTACTTCCCTGACCAATCTCAGCGTCCATCAGGTGGGCCCACAGTGTTCTCGGGTGTGCTGCAGAGGGGACACCGCCTTGGACTGCGGACCTGTGGAATAATGTTGCTCTCAGCACCAGTGTCTCGGGCCCAGGCTGTGTCCACCCATTCTCTAAGGCTTCATGGTTACCCTGGCAGCTAGGGTGGATATGCCTCTTAGGAACTAAAACTCCAGGCCCAGCTCTGTCAGTTCGTGTTTTTCCCTTGCCCGGACCCCAGTCCACTGGGTGGTCAGGGTCGATGCCTGTGCGGCCTCAGTGGTAAGCTCAGAACCTCACACTGGCTCTGGGTACTGAGAAGTCACCAAGGCATCTTCCATTCCTTCTTGCTGGCTCCCTATGGGCAGGACCCTGCCATGAACTCTCAATCCTGCACTTGCTGGACAAGCACTTTAGCCCTGAGTCACCTTCCAGGCCTCTGCGCCCGCTTTAGGCAAGACTGGTCTCTAGGATTCCTGATCCCTCATCCTGATCCCTGAGACCAGGAGCAGGGCCCCGCTGTCTTGCCTGCAGATCAGCGCTAGTCGAGCCTATCCACTGGGCAAGAGCTGGCTCCTGTGTCCAGGGACGTTTCCTCTGCTGACCCACCCAGGGCACACTGCTGCCCAGAAGGGGGTGGGGTGGGCCAGCTCCCCGGAAGGTGGAGAAAGCCTGTGGTGCTTACCCTCAGCCAGGGGCGCGGGGCTGAGGAACGGGGTGGGGTGTGATGACTTGAGGCGACCACGTGGGCTGGTCCTAGCCACACTGGGCTGCTGTCACTGCCCGTCACCTGCTGGCTAACAGCCCTGTGTCCAGGGTCCTCTTGGCTTTTCCCTAAACAGGAAGGGTTGGGCCTGGCTCTCTGGGTCACCTTGTGGCCAGCATATGGCCTGGCCTGTCCCTCATCCCCAATGAGCAGCACTGGTTTGGGGGCTGCACCTGGTAGTTACCTGGACTCTGGCTCTGATGCCCCACTCCTTGGCCCATCACCCAGGAGCAGGTCTCGAATGCCCAGACCCAGGGCCTGTGCTTTGGGCATGGACCAGCAGTGGGGCCCAGGGTGGGTTGGACTTGGGGAAGCGGCCATTCCTGGGGGCTGGGGCGTGGTCGTGCCCCAGCCTGGCCTCACCGCCACCGCCGCTGCCTGCGCCAGGTGGCGCTGATGAAGCAGATGCGGGAGGAGCAGCAGAGGCGGCGGCTGGTGGAGACCAAACGGAACCGCGAGATCGCGCAGCTCAAGAAGGAGCATCGGCGGCAGGAGGTGAGGGCGCCTGCCCCCCCCCCCCCACCTGCCGCAGCCCCCCGCTGGGATGGGGAGTGGGTGCCGGGTGGGGCAGGCTGGGGGGCAGCTGCCCGGTCCTGCTCGGGGTGCTGCCGACCAGCAGGGTGCTGGTCCAGGATACCTCCCTGGGGACTGTCCCTGCAGAGAGGGGCCAGCGTCTGGGTCCCCTGGCCCCGGAGGGGTTTGGGGGGTGGGCTCAGCATCAGCCCTGCCTCTCTTCTCCCCCCAATCGTAGTTTCAAATCCGAGCGCTGGAGTCCCAGAAGCGGCAGCAGGAAATGGTGCTAAGGAGGAAGACACAGGAGGTGAGAGAGAGCCCCTGCTGCCCCCCACGGCCCGAGGCGGTGGTCCCAGCCCCCCAGACTGACTTGCTGTTCATGCGCTTGGCAGATGCGTTGAGTGAGACCTGGTGAGGGGTTTTTCTCTAGAAAGGCCCAGGAGGGCCGTGAGCGGCAGGTCAGGCGTGGGGAGGGGCAGGGCCCAGCAGGGATTCTTGGTCTCCGAAGTGGACAGGGCGCCCCATACTCATCCTCTGCTTCCCCCCGCCCGGGACCTTCCCGCACCCAATCCCAGACTGCGCCCTGCTCCTAAGGACACTTTCTCCGGCCCCCAGGTGACTGCTCTGAGGCGTCTGGCCAAGCCCATGTCTGAGCGGGTAGCAGGGCGCGCGGGGCCCAAGCCCCCCATGCTGGACTCAGGGGCTGAGGTGTCAGCCAGCACCACCTCGTCCGAGGCCGAGTCGGGGGCGCGCTCTGTCTCCAGCATCGTGCGCCAGTGGAACCGCAAGATCAACCACTTCCTGGGGGACCAACCCGCACCCACGGTCAACGGCGCTCGCCCTGCTAGGTGAGGGGGACACAGGGCTGCCCTGGCTGCAGCCGTGGGGGCGGGTGGAAGTCAGCGGGGCGCAGGACCCGGGAGACACAGACGGGAAGTTGAGGTTGAGGGCGTCGTGGGCAGGCCAGGTAGGGTGGGGGTCGGAGCCCAGAGGCTGAGCCGGCCCCACCCAGTCCCGTCTCCAGAAAGAAGTTCCAGAAGAAAGGGGCCAGCCAGAGCTTCAGCAAGGCGGCCAGGCTCAAGTGGCAGTCCCTGGAGCGGCGCATCATCGGCATCGTCATGCAGAGAATGACCCTCGTCAACCTGGAGGCTGACATGGAGCGGCTTATCAAGGTGGGCCCCCGGTGGGCTCCGACTGACTCTTGGGCTCCCCCGTCCCCACGCCGACTCAACTCTGGCCCCTCTCTCTGCCCGGTTCCTTCTGCCTGCTCTGGAGTGCAGAGGGGCGGAAGGAGGCGGGGAGCAGGCCGGGCAGCACCCTAAGGCGCCCTTTCCTGCCCCCAGAAAAGGGAGGAGCTGTTCCTCCTGCAAGAGGCGCTGCGGAGAAAGCGGGAGCGGCTGCAGGCCGAGAGCCCCGAGGAGGAGAAGGGGCTGCAGGAGCTGGCGGAGGAGATCGAGGTGCTGGCGGCCAACATCGACTACATCAACGACAGCATCACGGACTGCCAGGCCACCATCGTGCAGCTGGAGGAGACCAAGGTCGGGCCACGGGGATGGAGGGGGGAGGCGGGGAGGGGCAGAGAAGTGGCGGCCCCCCCCCCTGACCTGGGTGTGCCCTCCCGCCTCCCTCCCTGCCTGCCTTCCGGTCCTAGGAGGAGCTGGACTCCACGGACACCTCAGTGGTCATCAGCTCCTGCTCCCTGGCCGAAGCCCGCCTCCTGCTGGACAACTTCCTCAAGGCGTCCATTGACAAGGTGGGCAGGCTGCAGGGTCCCCGTCCCGTCCCCTTCCCCATCATCAGGACTTCACTAATAGGCCAGGGCAAGCAAGCCGCTCACCTCTCGGCCGTGGATTCCGAGATGATGGGGTGATGACAGCACCAGCCTAATGCCCGACCGAGTGGCTTTAAGGGGGGGTGATGCATGCCCATGGGTTGGGCCCCATGCCCGGCTCACTGCGGGGTCTCCATTACAGGGGTCCCTGTGCATCACCCCCCGTTCAGTTGATGATCCGTGGGGCCGGAGGGAGGGGTAGAGTGTGGCAGAGTGTGAGAGTGTCAGGGAGTGTCAAGAGACAGACAGATGGACAGACAGACCAAGCACAGCCCACCCAGGAGGGTTGGCACTGACTGTCCCTTGGAGTCTCTGTTGCTCCTGTCAACAGAGGTGACAGCATGTCTTTGGGGACATGGGGGCACATCGGGTGCCTGTGACCCTGGAAAGAGGCGGGAGAGTCCCTTCTGGACATTGCTGGGGTCCCCCCGAAGGGTGTGCCCTGGGAGTGCAAGTCTGCCAGGACAAGCCCAGGTGTGGGGGTGTGCACACATCTCAGTCATTGTCACTGGGGGTTCACGAGGCAGGGGTGGGCAGGAAGCTCTCTTGGCTTGTGGACATCGTCCTCCCCCCATGCCTTCCCTCTGCATAGCTGTGTCCTGAGACACAGCCACATCATGCAGTAAGATTAGCCCTGGACCCCTGGCTCTGTAAAGGCCCGTCTCCGAACAGCCTCGCACTGAGGTACTGAAGATTAGACTTCAGCACACGAATATGGGCCCCTGGCTCAGCCCAGAACAGGGCCTTCTGGACTATGCGTCTGAGGGAAGATTCAGGGTCCCAGGTTCGGCCTGTGGGGGGTACAGGGGTGCCCCAAGGTTAGAGGGGACCGCTCCAGCCTCCTTGCTGGGAGCCAGTTGTGTGAGGGCGGAGACAGACGCCCACAGTCTGACCCTGGCCTGGTTCCTGCTCGCAGGGGCTGCAGGTAGCCCAGAAGGAGGCGCAGATCCGGCTGCTGGAGGGGCGGCTCAGGCAGACGGACCTCGCCGGCGCCTCGCAGAACCACCTGCTCCTTGACGCCCTGCGGGAGAAGGCTGAGGCGCACCCCGAGCTGCAGGCCCTCCTCTACAACGTGCAGCAGGGTATGCGGGTGCATATTGCATGTGGACACGGAGCCATGAGAGCACGGGGTGTGTGTGTGCATGGAGTGCCTGAGCCTGCGTGTGCATGTAGATGTGTACATGGAGTCCACGAGTGTACATGTGTGGGTGCATTCGTGGGCACATATGCACAGTGTGGGGATGAAAATGGGTGCGGGGGCTGGAGCGATAGCACAGTGGGTAAGGCGTTTGCCTCACACGTGACTGACTCAAGTTCGATTCCCAGCATCCCATATGGTCCCTCATGCACCACCAGGAGGAATTCCTGAGTGCAGAGCCCGGAGTAATCCCTGAGCATTGCTGGGTGTGACCCAAAAAGGAAAAAAATGGGGTGCGGGTGTGCACATGTGGGTACACACGGGGTGGGATGTGCAGGGTGCAGTGTGCATGCAGGGCGCTGGAATACAGCTGTGCTGAGGGTCTTTGCAGCCCCTTGGTATCCCTGTGCTTCCCTCTGGGGAGAACTTCCCAGAACTCCCAAGAAGCCCATGTTGATCCCTTGAGTTTTGGGGAGGAGAGGAGGAAGCAGTCTCCTTCGCTCGCTCTGGGGGGCGCTCACCACCCTGCCTCCTGCCCTCTGTCCCACAGAGAATGGCTATGCCAGCACCGATGAGGAGATCTCAGAGTTCTCCGAGGGGAGGTGAGAGCTGGGGCTCGGGGGGAGGGCGCGACTGAGCTGGGATTTGGGGACCCAAAGTCTGAGTGCCAGAGCACAGGCTATGCGGATCCTGACGCATCCCACATCCTTCTTCCTCAGTTTCTCCCAGTCATTTACCATGAAAGGCTCCACCAGCCATGATGATTTCAAGTTCAAGGTGAGCCCTCTGGAAGACAGAAGGCGGGTCCGTGTGCGGCCCCCCAGGCTGCCTGTAACTGGAATGTGGGTGCAGGGAAGGCTTCCCTTGGAGTTGGCGTAGACAGAAGGAGAAGGCGAGGTGTACTGGGCTTGCCTGGTTCCAGTAAGAACCATTTTCCTCTGCTTGGGATTCCCCAGGTGTCTTGAAAGCATCCCTTCCACGAAGGGGACCACTTCCTTTTTAGATTTTCCCCATCCCGCGGGGACATGGGTCCAACCCAGACGTTTCTTTACAGGGGGAGCCCCGCCTATCAGCGCAGATGAAGGCGGTGTCCGCTGAGTGCCTGGGACCCCCGCTGGACATCTCCACCAAGAACATCACCAAGTCCCTGGCCTCCCTCGTGGAGATCAAAGAGGACGCGGTGGGTTTCTCCGTGCGCGACCCCTACTACCGGGACAAAGTCTCCCGCACCATCAGCCTGCCCACCCGCGGGAACACCTTGTAAGTGGGAGCAGTCCAGGGGGGCAGGGAAGGGGCGGGACAGAGGTGGGAAGGGGGCGGGGCCTGGGCGGTCCAGGGTGGGCTGGGGATAGGGTGGGGCGGTGGGGGGCAGGCCCCGCCTCACTGCTCCCTCTGCGGCAGCCCCCGCCAGTCCCGAGGTGCTGACAAATCCCCGCTGACCCGCCGGAAGTCCTACGACCGAGGGCAGCCCATCAGGTGAGCTCATGTCCTGGCGTCCACTCTGCAGCACTGCTGGTCACTGTTGGTTCTGGGCCGGGGTGACCTAGTGGTTCTGCTCCTCCCACCCATCAGCTTCTCAGCTCAGAGAAGCGTCTCTTCCTGTCTCCAGAGGCATCACGAACTGGGGGGGAGGGGGGATGCCCCTGACCCTAAATGTGTGGCCAGCACGGCTGGGCAGTGATGGGAACTGGGCGCTGCTTGGGCCGCTCCCTGTGGTGCTGGGGTACCCTGCGGGCTGGGACGGGTCCCACTCCTGTATGCAAAGCTTGTGCTCCAGCCCTTTGAGCCGGCTCCCCAGCCCAACTGGAGCCTTTGAAAGTCCTTGTCATGTGAGACGAGAGGAGTGTAGAGGTTGATGTTTGGGTTTTGTTTGGGGGCCACACCCAGTTGTGTCCAAGGCAGGTTCTGGGGATATTTGGTGCCAGGGATTGAAACCGGGTCTGCCAGAGCAAGGCAGGTGCCCTCCCCGCTGTGCTATGGCTCCAGCCCCGGAGTGTGGATTTTAAAGAGAGGACAGGGAGAGGAGGGCAGGGGGAGCCCAGGCCGCTGCAGACCCCACCGTGCCTCTGTGGGTGACTTGGGCCACACAAAAATATTTGTCAGAGAGGCTTGGGGAAACCCCTGGGTAAGATTGGCTTCAGAGGGCCTGGCAGGGGAACACTGCGGGGGAGGACAGGCATCTGATAGCTGTGGGGTCCCAGACCCCTGCACCCCTGAGCTCAGAGAACACAGCTCAGAGGCGGGGGAGGCAGTGCAACTCGCTCAACTGTGCAACGGGAGAATCAGGCTGAACTGACTGAGAAGTCTCCAAAGAGAGGAGGGGCCCAGTGGTTTCAGAGTGGGACCAGGGTCACGCATTTCTCTGTGTTCTTGGCAGTCGCTCTGTCTTGCCCCGGATGCCACAGCAACCGCTGAGTCCAGAGCCGGCAAGGGCTCCTTCAAGCCTCCTCTCCCTGGGTTTGGTGGATCCACACGCACCCCCATTTGACGTGGGCCCTGCCCAAGTTTAGTAGCTACTGCTCACTGCTGCGGGCCGCTTGGCTCAGCCGGGCATCGGCTCTTACCCCGGTCCCACGTTCTCTTCCCTTGCATTTTCTCCACGAGGCACACACCAGTGACATCCACAAAACACACAACAAGAACAACAACAACAAAACACATAATGCAGAGAAAAGGGGCCGGAGAGATAGCAGAACACATAGGCACTCGTGTTGCACACAGCCAACCTGGGTTTGCTCCTGTGCCCCACGGGGTCCCCTCAGCACCACCAGGAGGGGTCCCTGAGCACAGAGCCAGGAGTAAGTCCTGAGCACAGCAAGGTGTGACCCCCCAAATCAAAAGAAAATAAATAAAGGAACCACTCCCAGACTTTCTTGTGAACCAGATTGTAGGAAAGGGAATCTGGGACTGACTCTGTCGCATGTCCATCCGGGGACCGTAACCCCACAGAGCACCAGGGCCTTTGGGATTACAGATGCATTTTAACCAGGGCTAGAGAGATAGTAGAGCAGGGTAGGCATTTGCCTTGCACGTTGCTGACCCGGGTTCAATCCCCAGCACCAGGTATGGTCCCCCGAGCCTTCTAGGTGTGAACCCTGAGCTCAGAGCCAGGAGCAAGCCCTGAACACTGCCGGGTGTGGCCCCCAAACCAAAATGATAATAATAGAACAAATGTACTTTAATCACAAGGTGGGAACTCGGGGTGTGGACACAGCGCTCCAAGGATGAGGGGTGTAGAGCGGCGGGCAGGTGCGGCCACTCACGGGGGCTGCTCTCTGTCCCACTCTCCAGGTCCACGGATGTGGGATTCACGCCACCCTCATCCCCTCCCACTCGGCCCCGAAATGACCGCAATGTGTTCTCCCGGCTCACCAGTAACCAGAGCCAGGGGTCCGCGCTGGACAAGTAAGAGCGGGGGTTAGGGGCCGGGGGTGGAGCTCACCTGGGCTGGCCCTGGAGGGATGGGGCCTTTCTCTTGGCATCTCTGCCCACCGAGTCCTGATCTGGACTCTTCCCTCCCCCAGCATGCAGTGCGCTCTGGACAGGGCAAGGGAGAAGTGCCAGGGATGGGGTCAGGGGGGATCGTGGCGGTGAGGTCAGGTGATTCCTGGCCCCTGGGACTCTCCCCAGAGCCCCTCTGAGTGCTCACCCGAGGTTCTGGGGACCCGCAGAATGAGACCCCCTTCTCACCCAGCCTTTCTGAAAAGCACGTGGCTGCCAGCCACTGGCTTTCGTCCACCTTGAGAGGCTACTCGAGCCCCACTGTGAGGTGGTGTAGGAGTCCCGCCCAGCCATGACACTTGTCCTGATCCCTGTGCCAGGGGAGGAGACTCCGGGGAGGGGGGCAGCTTAGACCCAGGGTCTCTGACACAGGGGGAGGACCCCATTGGGGTTGTCCTCTGCTCTCCCGCTCTCTCCAACTTCCTGTGACCCCAGTGGGCCACGCTCTAGGCTACCCAGTGGGGTCAGTGCCATCTTTAGGGAAGTGTAGAGAGGACCTAGAAGGGGGTGTTTCTGTGTGTCGGGGCATGGGGAGTGCCCCTTCTCTGAGAGGCTCTGGGTCCCGCAGGCGACCTTTCTCAGAAACTTTGGGATGGGGGGTTCTGGCCACGCCAGCCTGGTGGTCTTCCGGACCCTGAGTCTATTCGTGCCAGGCCTCAGCAGCCCTGGAGTGTGCCAGCCTGCCACAGGCGTGAACCCACAGGCCTCGAGGTGCTGCAGGGGCCGCGGGAGGGGCGGGCAGCAGGTTAGGAGAGGCCAGCGATGGGGCAGGGCGCCCCACAGGGCAGACAGAGGCTTGGGACAGCAAATGGCCACGACCTTCTCCCCGAGTGAGGGCTGGCGCCTCCCCCCCGACACCCCTCTCTTCACACCTGTTAGCTGCGGCACCCCGGTGTCCCGCTCCTGGGGGCGTCCACGGCTCCCCTGCCAGCCTGCCCCCCAACCCCCACTGCTCTCCTTGAGCAAGCAAGCACCCTGACCCTCTGCTTCTCTCCGCCCCCCCCGGGAGAATAACCCGCCCTCTGACCTCTCCCCTGCTCCTCCTGCCTCTGCCCCTCCTCCCTCCGTGCACCCCCTCTCGCCCCCTAATCGCCCCCTAATCCAGCTAATTTTCTGCCTTCCCAGGTCTGATGACAGCGACTCCTCTTTGTCGGAGGTCCTGAGGTACACACAGAATGGCTCTCGCGTGTGCGCCCCCAGCTCGCTCGCTCTCCTCTCTGCCCCGCCCCCTGCCTGAGCCCTAGTCCTCAGCATGCCGCCCTCCCTTCCCACATCCCCACCCCCAGGGGTGCCGCATGGTCTCGGGAGCTGGGCCTGGGGAGGGGACGCAGCTGCTCGCCCCAGGCTGGCCCTCTCCCCCAGGGCCCTGCACAGCCCCCCACTCTCTGGCATCATGGGCTTGGACGTGTGCCCCTCTGGGTGCCCCCGCAGGGGAAAGGCCATCCCCCACTTCTCCGGGCATGCGCTGTCCCCTGACTCTCCACAGTCACCTCTTGCTTGTCCTCACGGTCATGGCCAGGCCCAAGCCCCGCTCAGGGAGGGGGCAGCTGTGACGCTTAAGGGGCCATTTGTGCTGGCGTGACATTGGCCAGCCTGATTGAGCCCTGGAAACTGACCCTGGGGGTCTGCGTCTAGGGAGAGGAGAATGCTCCTCCCCCACAAAGCTCACAGCATGCGGGCAGCCCAGGGCAGGTCCCTCCTGCCCTCCAGGAGAAGCACCTTTGTCTCTGGGCATTCTTGGAGGACTCTGGGTGCACGCGTGGCCTATAGCACCTCATTCCCACAGGGACCCGGGGGGGACCGGGACCTGAAAGGGCTCAAGTCCTTTGTACAAGTGACAGTCCCGGGTCTGACCATGTGGTACAGAGGGGGCGCGTGTGAGTGTGTGAGAGTATTATGACCGTGTGTATGTGTGTAAGATTGTATGAGTATGTGCATGCAAGCATCAGTCTGAGTATGTGTGTGATAGTGTGACTGTATATGTGTACATATGTGTTTGTGCATGTATGTGAGTGGGTGTGTGAGTGTATGTGTGGAGAGGTGATTGTAATTGTGTGTGCGCTTATGCGAGAATGAGAGTATGTGGGCTGGAGCAATAGCACAGCGGGTAGGGCATTTGCCTTGCATGTGGCTGACCCGGGTTCAATTCCCAGCATCCCATATGTCCCCCTGAGCACCGCCAGGGATAATTTCTGAGTACAGAGCCAAGAGTGACCCCTGTGCTTTGCCAGGTGCGACCCAGAAAGCAAAAAAAAAAAAAAAAAGAGAGTGTGTGTGAATGTGGTTGTGTGTATGGGTGGATGTGTGCATGCATTTGTGTGCATCTATGCGGGTATGCAAGGGTGAGTATGAGTTTACGTGTGAATGGATGGATATCTGTGTATATATGTGTGCTTATGCATGACTGAGCATGTTGTGTGTGAGTGTGTGGATGGATGATCATGATGATCGTGTGTGTGAGTGTACTTACATGATAGCATATGTGAGTGTGTGGGTACTTACACTATAGCACAAGTGTGTGGATGGGTGGTCCTGTGTGTGTACTTACGTGATAGTACGAGTGTGCATGGTGTGTGTAGATGTGTGATCATGTGAGTGTGTGTGTGTGTGTATGTGCATTCTTGGGAGCCCCTCAGGCAGTCACTCACAGGTACCCCAAGCCAGGGCTGCCTGGGGCCACCTTAGCATTCTCTCTGCACCTTGGCCTCAGCTGGATTTACCTGGCATTGGTGAGCTGTGACCCCGAGGCCTGAGCACTGCACAGGGGGCCTGGCCGCGTCTGAGTCTTCAATCATGCAGGTTCAGGGGACTTGGGGACAGGGCCTGACTCAGTGTGGGCCCGAGAGCTTGGCATGTCTCCATGCCCAGACGTGCTAGGCCCTGCTGGTGTCTGGAGTCTCCCCAGGAGACCCTCGTCCCTTCTCCATCCGTTGCCCTCGTGCGTGCCTTGCTCAGCCTGGCTGGGTCCCGTGCACTGACAGACTGCCCTTCTCTCCCTCTCTCCCGGGAAGGGGCATCATCTCGCCTATCGGAGGAGCCAAGGGCACACGGACAGCCCCGCTGCAGTGTGTCTCCGTGGCCGAGGGCCACAGCAAGCCCATCCTCTGCCTGGACGCCACCGACGAGCTGCTCTTCACAGGCTCCAAAGGTGAGTGGCACCAGCTGCCTTGGGGTAGGGTCCCCTGGGCATCAGCCTGTTCCCCAAGGGGCCCGGAGGAGGCCCCTGTTGCCTGGCCCTCTGCCTCCTCCTTTCCTCTGTGTGACTCAGTGGCCCCATCAGCACTTCCTCTTGTGCTTCCCTTGGAAACTCTAGGAAGCTTCTCAGGGACCCCTGTCTCCCTGCCCTCAATGTCCTCCCCTCCGGACCCCTGATTTCCAGCCTTGCCTTTTGGCCAAGCCATGCGAGGGTCTCAGTAGCTGCCCCAGAGTCTCGGTGGCGTCCCCTCCGCTCTGGTGTCAGAACGGCTGGGGACAGACAGCCTGCCCGGCGAGTGTGTGCAGTCCCCGGAAGCTGCATTCTGAGACGCGCCTCCCTAGGAAGCCAGTCACCGTGCACATACCCACTGTCCTTTCACAAACCTGAATGCTGCTCTGTTGTCCCTGGGGGGCTTGCTGGCCTGAGGTCCATCGCCATGATGGAACACCGCTTGCTCCTTCGCTGCCAGGACAGCAGTTACAGGGAGGGGCTGCCACTGGTTTCTTGTGAGGGCACCAAGAGTGCTCCATGGCCAGGGCCAGCTGTGCATGGTCAGTGGTGTTCAGGGGTTACCAGGACTCTGCCGGGCAGCATCCAAGGGTCCGTGCTGGGAGACTCCGCTCGGAGCTCGCTTCCTGAAACCGGGAACAAAAAGGCTCTGTGGGTTCTTTTGTCTTTTTGTTTTTTTAAGTGAAGGTAGTTTTTACTGAACAAAACTTGATTGGGAAGAGGAGAGGAGACAGAGAGAAGTGTGGGGCTGGAGTGGTAGCACAGCGGGTACGCAGCCTTGCACGCAGCCGACCCGGGTTCGATTCCCAGCATCTCATATGGTCCCCTGAACACCGCCAGGAGTAATTCCTGAGTTGCAGAGCCAGGAGTAACCCCTGTGTAATGCCGGGTGTGACCCAAAAAGAAAAACATAAATAAAACAGAGAGGGAAGGGTGTTCGAGAGAAAACACGGGCTTCTCCAGAGAGGAACTAGCAAGCAAAGAGAGTGAAGCTAGCGAGATTGAAAGGAGCACGCGGGCTTGAGGAGTGAGCCAGAACAGTTTTGTCTTGGCCAGGGACACCAGCAGCCTTCCCTGACTCAGGTGTCTCTGGGAGTTTGTTTGGGAAGCTGTGAGCCGGTCCTTTTCTGAGCACGCGAATGCACACATATGCCCACAGGAGCACACACCCGCCTCCCGCTCAGAGTGTCTGTCCTCCAGGCTGCCCAGACCCCCTCCCCTCCCTGGGTGGTATTGGGGGGCAGGGGTCGTGTGAATGTGTATTCTGACCTGGGGGTGGCTCCCTGCGGAGGCGCGCTCTCCTCCTCACACAGACCGAAGCTGTAAGATGTGGAACCTGGTGACGGGGCAGGAGATCGTGGCTCTGAAGGGTCACCCCAACAACGTGGTGTCCATCAAGTACTGCGGCCACTCGGGGCTGGTGTTCTCCGTGTCCACCTCCTACATTAAGGTGTGGGACATCCGGGACTCGGCCAAGTGCATCCGGACCCTCACGTAAGTCCGTCCCTGCCCGCTCCCCGTGGCGTGGCTGCTGGGGTGATGCAGCTCTGTGGTACAGAGGCGCATGTAGCCCCGGCACTGGTCGGTCAGTGTCGGTCAGCGGCAGTCACGGGTGTGTCTTGGCGCCGTCTCTCCCAGCAGTGCTGCGCCATACACTTGGTCCCGTCCCTGAGCATGGCTTGAAAACATTTTTGCTGTCGGGATGCCAGAACCAGGGCCAGGATGAAGTAGAGGGTGCCTGGCTGCACATGGGTCTGGCACTGGGGTGGGCAGGGAGCCCTGCTTGAATAAACGGCCCTGGTAGTCCGGCTTCCATCTGCCACTGACACTGAGCCTCAACCTGCCTGTCGTTTGACCGACACTTCCTGGCAGTGGGGCCGCCCAGAGCGGCCACCGGGTCTCTCCCCCGGGGGAGCATGCCACAGGGTCAGCCCCGGGCATGTGGCACTTCGCCAGCAGCAAAAGCACCCTGGGCTGGGGTGCTGGTCTCCATGTGGCAGGTACCCACCAGGGTCTCTCCCTTTCCCTCCTTCTACTGTGAACCCAAACTGCTTCCCCAAAAATTGTCTAGGGGGTTGGAGCAATAGCACAGCGGATAGAGCGTTTGCTTTGCACGCGGCCAACATGGGTTTGATTCCCAACATCCCATATGGTCCCCTGAGCACTGCCAGGGGTAATTCCTGGGTGCAAAGTCAGGAGTGACCCCTGTGCATCGCCGGGTGTGACCCAAAAAAGGCAAAAAAAAAATTGCCTTATAAAAGCAAAACCCGGGGGTGGAGAGACAGTACGGGGGGGAGGGCGCTTGTCTTGCATGTGGCCGACCCAGGTTCAATCCCTGGGTCCCATATGGTCTCCCAAATACTGCCAGGAATTTGGGAGAGTGCAAAGCCAGGAGTGACCCCCCTAAGCACAGCAGGGTGTGACCCCCAAACCAAAGACAAAGCCAACCCAGTGGTGGAAGATGCTGACTCGGAGGTTGAGTGATTCCCACGAGACCAGAACCCTGGCCTTTTGCTCCTTCCAAACCTGGAGCCACGGACAGCCAGGGTGGGGACTTGGCTTTCACCTAGGAGAGTGGGGGTGGGTACAGGTATGCCTCGTGGGGTACCCCAGTTCACTGATCAAAGCCTTCCCCAGAGAAGCTGCCACTGCTCTGTAGATCAGGGAAGGCTTCCTGGAAGAATGGTTTCTAGCCTGTGCAAATGGACTGCTTGATCCCTGCCTCCTCCTTGCTGTCAGGTCCTCGGGCCAGGTGATCTCAGGGGATGCCTGTGCGGCCACCTCCACGCGGGTCATCACCAGTGCCCCTGGCGAGCACCAGATCAATCAGATTGCCCTCAGCCCCTCGGGTACCATGCTGTACGCCGCTTCGGGCAACGCCGTCCGCATCTGGGAGCTCAGCCGGTCAGTCAAGAGCTCAGGGGTCTCCCAGGGGTCAGGGTGGGTGGCCCTGGCCTGCCCACACCCTTGGCCATGCAATGCATGTCCCCGCCCTGGCCCCTGCCTCTGAGGAAGGGTGTGAGGCCTGGGCCAGCACCCCCACCTCACCCCAGCTCTCTTCTGCCCCCTGTCCCCGCTGGGCCTCTGCCCCTCCTCCACATGCAGGTTCCAGCCTGTGGGCAAGCTGACCGGCCACATTGGCCCTGTGATGTGTTTGACAGTCACCCAGACGGCCAGCCAGCACGACCTGGTGGTGACCGGCTCCAAGGACCACTATGTGAAGGTACCCAGCCTCCTTGGCGCCCTGCCCTCCGGGATGTTTCTCTTCCTCTTTGCTTTGGGGGGCCCCTTGTGGAAGGGAGAGACTGGGGTCTGGGAGAGGCCTCTGGGGCGGCCTCATCCATCGGGTGGGTGTCAGGGAGTGATGTCAGGGTACAGGATGACAGGACGGATCTGGAAACAAGGCCACAGGGCTAGGAGGCGGCTCAGTCTCCAGCACCATGTGAACCTCAGCACCATGCCGGGAGTAGCCCCCAATCCAGGTCATGTGTGGTCAAAAAAGGCAAAAAGAAAAGGGAGGCAGGAGCAATGACAGTGCAGTGGCGGGGGCGCGTGCCTGCACACTGTGGACCCCAGCACCAGCACCCCTTATGGTTCATGAGCATCGCCAGGAGCGATTCCTGAACACAGGGCATCATCGGGGTGGCCCCAAAACAAAAGTGAGAGAAAGGGAGAGGGGGAGGAAGAGAGAGAGTAAGGGAGGGAGGGAGAGAGCGAGCCCCTCCCCGGGCAGGGCCTGTAACAGTTGAGAGCCCCAGAACAGCTGTGGAAGGAGGAGGCCGGTGGCTGTGAACCAGTGCTGGTGAGGTTATGGTCAATTCCTGGGAAAGAGAAGTTCCCAGGCCTGCCTTCGGGACTCCCCATCTCCCCTCCAGTCTCCCCTCATTCCCAGCACCCCCTCAGGGAGCTCCACCCCCCCACCCGCAGTAATTGGCCTTCCCCGTCCCCCACAGATGTTCGAGCTGGGGGAGTGTGTGGGGGGCACCATTGGCCCCACCCACAACTTCGAGCCGCCACACTATGACGGCATCGAGTGCCTGGCCATCCAGGGGGACGCGCTGTTCAGTGGCTCCAGGGACAATGGCATCAAGAAGTGGGACCTGGAGCAGCAGGGGCTTGTCCAGGTACAGGGGGGGAGGGTCAGTTGGGTCGGGGGACCCAGCCCCGCGGAGTCTCATCTAGGTGCGCGGGGGGTGGGGGGGGGCGCTCAATCCTGTCAAGGGCACCCGGCCCTGTGGGGTCTCCTCTAGGTACAGGGTGGGAGGTCAGTCGGGTCAGGGCGCCCGGCCCTGTGGAGCTCATCCAGGTATGGGGGTAGGGGGCTGTCAGAGTCAAGGGGTGCAGGAGCTCTTGGGGTTCCAGCCCCGATGGCCTGAGGGCCGGGGCTCCCCAGGGTTCCTGCTCTGCCCCCACAACCTTTGCTCTGGGGGTCCTCTCCCTCTGCCTCCCTCCCGCACTCCCTGGCCCTCATGCCCGGCCCCCTGCCCCGGCAGCAAATCCCCAATGCGCACAAGGACTGGGTGAGCGCGCTGGCCTTCGTGCCCGGCCGCCCCATGCTGCTGAGCGCCTGCCGCGCGGGCGTCATCAAGGCCTGGAACGTGGACAACTTCACGCTCATCAGCGAGCTCAAAGGCCACGACAGTCCCATCAACGCCATCTGCACCAACGCCAAGCACGTCTTCACCGCCTCCAGGTGGGTGCCGGAGAGCCGGGGGGAGGTGGGGGGGCCCTGGCTGTCCCCGGGGGCTCCATGCACACCCCGCAGCCTTTGAGGAGGGCCACGGGGCCGCCCCGGGCACAGCTGCACACTCGTCCCCCGCCCCGCCGGCCTGTCCCGGACCTACTCAGCGGCTCTCTCTTCTCTTTCTTCTTCCCGCTGTGCCCTCCCCCCCACCCCCCTGTCTCCCCCACAGTGACTGCCGGGTCAAGGTGTGGAATTACGTGCCTGGACTCACCCCCTGCATTCCACGCCGGGTCCTGGCCATAAAGGGCCGTGCCACCACCCTGCCCTGACCACCCCCCGCCCCCGTTCCCCTCTTTCCTCTCCCTCTCTTTCTCCACTTCGATCTGAGCTGCTTCTTCACGGTACGAGACTATTTTACTCCCCCCTGCCTGCCCCCACAGCACCCTCCCCAACACGGTCTCAGCTGCCCCACTCTTCCGAGCATGCGCCGTGGACAGGCCCTCCCCCCCCGCACCCCCCAGTCCCCACCGCAGAGGGGTGCCAGGCTAGCAGGCATCAGAAAGGGGGACGGAGCAGGCCAGCGAGAGCCCGCCCCGAGGAGTCTCCCAGGACCCCCTCCGCACCCCCTGCCCTGCACCCTCCCCACTGGCCCCTCGGGAAGCTTGGGGAGTCGAGCCTGTCCTTCCCTTGGCCGGGGGGATCGCCAGCCAGGCCCACCTTGAGAGCTGACTGGTCCCCCATCTCTCCTCGCCTGCAGTGATCTGACCGTGAAGATCTGGAGCGGACGGCGGTTACCTGGGGCCCAGGAGTGATGCCCCACAGCACAGCAGGAAAGTGGGGGACCCCACCCCTCCGACCGGCGACTGGAGACAGGGGTGCCGACCTGGGGTGTGGCCCCTCCCCCTCTCCTTCCTCTCTGTCTCCCCCAGTCTGCCCCCCCTCCCCCAGGAGAGAGCGAGGTGGGAGAGAAATTAAGCTGTGAAGCCAAAGGGCTCTGTCCCTTCCTTTCTTCCCTTCAGCCCTTGGCCTGTCCCCGCCCCCCCCCCCCCAGCCCTGAGCAGCCTGGCCCCTCCTTGATGGGCCTCCCCACTCCCCTAGCCCCTGCACCTGCCTCTGAGCCCCACAAGCTAGTCCTCAGGTACCCACAGAAACCAGGTGTAGCCGCTGGGCTCCACGCTGTCCTCCACACCGTGCCCGCGGCAGTGGTGCTGGGAGGCGTCAGAAATCCTTCGGTTATTTAATTTATTTTTTTATTTCCGTTCGTCGCTGTTGCCGCCTGGACACGGACTTGAAGTTTCTTCTCCTGCGTTCTCTCCCGCAGCTCTTGGGGGGCCCAGAAATCCCCAAGGGGCCCCCGCTGGGTGCTCTGTGCAGGAGGGACCCCCCCCCCCCCGCCTTGGGCAGCCTTGCCGGGGCCCCTCGATGTGCCCCTGACCTCTCGGCCTGCTGCTTCGGTGCCTTCCTCCCCGCCGGCAGCCTTATAGCCCGCGCCTCACACATCGCTCCTCCTGCTGCTCCCCGGAAGGCACCCCACGACCCGGGCACAGGGGCCCCACCTTGGGAGCAGCCCCGGTCTATGGCGTGTGGGACTGTGGATGCCACCCAGGGCTCAGGAAACACGATTTTGAGCCTTACCGTGATGCAGGCTGCCGCCTTGGGGGACGCAGGGAAGATGCAACAGAGCCACCAGCCAGGCCGGTGGAAATCCACAGGAAGGAGCCTCGGGAACGGGCGCCCTCGCACCCATCCCGGGTCCAAACCTGCTGCCCTTGTTTCCTGTCCTTTTACCCCACCCTGCGCTTCTTGCGGCTTCAGTCTTCCTGGGGGTCAGGAACCCCGACGCTATTCAGAAGACTTTGGGACTCTGGGCTCTGTTCTGCCCTGGGAGGCCAGTGCCCCGGGCAGCAGGGCCAGAGGCGGCCAGAAAAGGCCAAAAAATTAAATAAATAAATCTGCTGAGGCTGGAGCTCGGGGCCTGGAGCCGCCGCAGGAAAGAGGTGGTGGCCCCTGCAGACCGGTCCCAGGTTGGCGATGCCAGTGCCTCCTGCCCGTGTCCTGCGGCCGAGCAAGCACTGCCGTGACAACTGGAATGAACCCCCACCCCCACCGCCCGCCTGCCCCTCTCCTCCCTGAACAGAAAAAGCATGGAGCGCACCCCGTGAGAAAGCCTCCCCTCTGCATGAGCATCCTGCCCGAGCCTGCGCCCCCTGTTCCGTGCCCACCCGGTGCTCCTCCCCGTGCTCCCGTCGGTGCTATCTCCCCTGCTCTCTGCCGTCCGCCCTGGCCCAGCTACCTCATGGGCACGGCTTTCTGTCCTGCCACCACCCCGTTGACTCTGAACTTGAAGGGCCGCCCCCCGAGCCCCGCACAGTCCCGAGCTCTGAAGAGGCCTTCGCCACTTTCAGGGATGTCCAAGGTACCTAGTTAGGGGCAGGCCCCTGGCGCCCCCCATTGCACAAGTTCCCGAAATGCTGGAAGCACAAATGGATTGTGATGGGAGCACAAGGGTGGGGGGGGGGAGGCCAGGCCCAAACTTGGACTGGCTGACCCCTCTGGGGAAGGAACAACTTTTGTAGACCCCACAGCCCCCACCCACCAAGGCACACCCCAGACCCTGCCCTCCAGGTGCCCCCCCCCCCCGACACCCCTGCATGCTTTCAGGATTGTCTGCGAGTCCCCTGGTTTGGGGGAGGGGCTTCCCCCCTGTCGTGATCAGGCATCCCCACAACCGTGCTGGGTCCGGGCACTGCCCTCCTTCCACGGTCCCCCACTCTGTTGGCTTCACCCAAGCGACCCCCTCCCGCCCCGCTCCTGCTGGCCATCTGGAACTCGCTGGAGTTGCCTCAAGATGACCCATATGACAGGGCCGAGGATGGTACACTGGACCTTTGGGGTGTCTGGGGGCCACCTTCCGCCCCTGGGAAGGGGCCTTGGAGGATGTGGGAGCTCCCTACCCCCAGCTGACTTAGACCTTCCCCCGAGTCGTTGAACCCTGCCAGCCCCCGGGGCAGTGCCCCTGAGTTGGTGCAGTTAGAGGCTGGCAGCCGCGGGGGTCAGAGGCAGCCCGGAGTGCTCCTGCGCCACCCCCAGCTGGTGCTGCACCTGCCTGGGCCTGCAAACGTGCAGGAGCAGCTTCCCACGCGCTGGCCCGGCCGTTGGCATCTGTCCCTTTGCCATCCCAAACAGGAAGCTGCTCCCTTTGGTAGTTAGGCAGTCCCACCTGGGCCTGGCCTTCCTCTCCTGACTTCTAGATCCTTCCCTGCCCCCCTCGGTGTAAGAACAGACCCCGCAGGGGAAGTTCGGTTTCCTTCCTGGCATCTGGGGGTCTGTTGCCCACCCTCTGCCTTTTCCCCCAACCTCTGCTGAGCCCTCCCCCACCCCATTCCAGCCCAGTCCTTTGAACCCCTGTCCTGAAAGACCTTCGGGGAAGCTGGTCAATCCCGGAAGGGCCTGGGGTCCAAGAAACCCAAGAAGAGAAGGGGCCTGGCCCAGCCCACCGGCGCGTGTCCACCCCTCCCTGGCAGCACACAGTGTACATACCTTTTGTACCTCTGCCGACGGCTGTACATAGTGTATGAAAGTTGTCTCCTCCCCCCGCTGTACAGTTCTGTCCCCGGATGTGTGTGTCCTGAGATGTTCTCATCAATAAAACCCGAGTCATGTGCTCCGTGTGTTGCTGTGTCCTGAGCCTAGTGGCCACCAGGGATGGTGGGTGGGAGGTGGGAGGCAGGGGTCAGGCCTGGCGAGCAGGTCCTGGGTGTTCAAGTAGGAGGTGCCGTTGGGGGCTGTGTTCTCCTCTAAGACTGTCAGCTGCATCTCGGCCGGCACATGGACAGAGGAGAGGCCGCTGGCCTGCCCGGGCACCAGCCTTGCTCCAGGCACTGCTCCTGGCTCCCCTCGGACAGCTGGTGGGGACTCGTTTTCTGAAACAAGAAAAAGTCTCCGAATCCTGGCTGAGGAAGGACTGTAGCACTGTCCTCCCATTGTTCATCGATTTGCTCGAGCAGGCCCAATAACATTGTGAGACTTGTTATTACTGTATTTGGCATATCGGATACGTCACGGGTAGCTTGCCAGGCTTTGCTGTGTGGGCGGGCGAGATACTCTTGGTAGCTTGCTGGGCTCTCCAAGAGAGGCGGAGAAATCGAACTCGGGGTGGCTGACCGTGTGGAGGCAAACGCCCTACCTGCTGTTCCATCGCTCCAGCCCCTGAGGAAGGAAAGAAGCGGGAATTGAACTTGGCCCCATCAGTCCGTGATTCTTCTTCTTGCCACTTGGGAGAGAAGACAGAAATAGTGAAAGTTCTTAGGAGCTGGAGAGATAGTCCAATGGACAGGCTGGGCATTTGCCTTGCATGCAGCTGACCCAAGATCAATCCCCAGCCTGCCAGGAGTGATACCAGGAGTAAGCCCTGAGCACTGCTGAGTGTGACCCGAAACCAGAAAAGAAATAGGAGTTCTCAGCAGGGGCTGGTGAGGAGCACTCAATGCGAGCATACAGAAGGCCCAGGTTTGCTCCCCAGTACCACACGGTCTTCTGAGCACTGTCAAGAGCCACCCCCAGACAGAGCCAGGGATAGCCCCAAACCAAGTAGCTTCAGAGAAGAGTCTATGGCTGTCTTGACCCTTGTTTCTCCATCAGTGTCTTCGAACACCTTGGTCCTCTGAGATGATTTGATCCTGTTTCCTGTCTCAGACAGGCCTGCCCCAAGGTATTCTGTGACCCCAAGAGGCCTCTGTGACCCCAAGGTATTCCACGGCAGGTCAGACCATTTTGAAAGCTGGCCTTTGGGTTTCCCTGTTTCGGAGACGAGGGTCTCTTGGTTGTTTTGCAAACATAAAGCCAAGCTACGTTGTGGGCAGACCAACACATTCAACGTGACTACTGACAATGAGTCACTAGCCGGGGAGCCAAGTCTTCTGGTCCTCCAGGGGCGAGAGGGTCCTTGGCAAAGGAGAGGGGCCCTGAGCTTCCAGGGTCACTGCATCGCTCTAACTCTCCTATCATCCCCCTCCCCGCTGCGGGCGGCTGAGCCTCCTGTCTAGAAACCAGGGCGGCTGCAGCTGGGAGCCTTGGTTTCTGGCGGGCCAAGCCAGCTCCACCCCATTCTCCCTGCCCACTCACACCCCGCCCAGCTCCCCCAGGCCTGCTTTTACGTAAGAGCCTGCTCAACAGGACAAGGACCACTGTTCGCCCCAGGAATGGCAGATGGGCGAGGCTGTTTAAGGCCACAGTGGAGGGTACCAGGAAGCTGCCCAGCCCAGAAGCTGAATCACCTGCAACTCCTGGGGCTGGAGCCATAATAAAGCAGGGAGGGTGTTTGCCTTGCATGCGGCCGACTCGGGTTGGATCCCCAGCATCCCACGTGGTCCCCCACGCCCATCAGAAATGATTCCTGAGTGCAGAGCCAGGAGTAAGCTCTGAGTACCACTGAGAGTGGCCAAAAAAAAAAAAAAAGGAAAAAAAACACCCGCAGCACCTCCCTACCCCTGCCCCCTGCCCCTGCACCCATCCCTGGAGGTTTGCCCCGAAGGGATTTCACACACACACACACACACACACACACACACACATACACAGGACCACCTGTGTTCTTAAAGCAGGAACACTGGGTTAGGAAACATGGGTTCCTGTCCCTTCAATGTGGGGGAGTTGGGTTCCCCCCAATTATGAGAGTAAGACACGCATATCACCACAGATTTGGAAAACAAGCATGTGAGTTAGAAGAGTCCCATTTGGGGTGTAAAAAGGAAATGACCTGTCTCAGAGTCTGATGACCCACTCATGGTCAGATCTGGTGGCACCTTCAAAGATGCCTGTTTGTGGGGCTGGAGCAATAGCACAGTGGGTAGGGCATTTTGCCTTGCACGCGGCTGACCCGAGT